GACCTAAAAGGGGTCCTGACATTCTATCTCTAGGTTTTCATTTTCTGGGCTGCACCATCCAAATTGTAGCAGCAGGGGCTGGGCCAGCCAGGGGAGAGGTGAGTCCTGACTTCACTGAGGCAGAGCCTCCCCCCGCCCCCCCCAGCCCTATAGCACCATCGCACCCTCTCCTTGTGCTCAAATCTCTAAAACCTTCTCTTCCTTCCATCTCTCCCCTCCTACTGCCCCAAAGCTAAGCCTAATTTCGAGCAGGGGTGGGGAGGAGGGGGCAGGTGGGAGGAGTACAGGGAAGAGGCAGTGCGGGTTGCGGAGGGGGTCCCTCAGCCTAGACCATCCCAGCCTCACCCCACCCCCACCCTTGGTTTGGCCCCTCTGGATGCTTCAGTCTTTGAACAATTCCAATGAAGCCAACATAGCAGTCTGAGAGCTAGAGATGGGGCAGTGAGAAGGGGACTGGAAGGGGCAGAGGCTGGGTTTCAGAGGTGAAGGCGCTTGTCCCCCTCAACCCCGTGGGTTGCAAAGAATTGCTAATTGCAACTAAACGAGGCCTCAGTGTGGGGGAGGGGGCAGTCTCTCGGCTGTCAGGGGCTACCGCCTCTTTGAGTGCCCGGGCAAGGCCAGGCCAGCCTGCTCTTCTCATGTAAAGCAGCTTTTTGTGTGGGGGAGCCAGGGCTGGGGCCAGGGGCTGGGGAAGGGGCCCGAGCCATTAGCAAGCTTCTTGTTCCCCAGAAAGGGAGAAGGGTGCCGAGGCCTCCTCAGAGTGAGGACAACTCCCTCCTCCATTCTCAAGCTTTTTATGGTGGGGCTTGATGGGGTGCTTCCCAGCAGGGGGGAGTGGGCCCGGGATCTCAGCACCCCCATGCCGGGCTGTGGGAAAAAACTGAGCACAAAGAAGGGGGCTGGCCCAGCTGAGCTGGGAGACAGGGCAGCTCCAATCCAGTGATGCCCTGAGCTAGAAGTACCCATCTCCAGAGCCCCTTGTCCCCAGGGAACGGCCCCAGTGACCACATGTACCTTATCTGGTCAGCTGGGCCCCCTTTCGGGCTTCCTCATCCGTTCTGCCAACCTCCAAACCTTTTGTACTATGGGAAGGCGTCTGAGGATCTAAGTTGGCTTCCTGCTTGAGCCCAGCCAGGCAGGAGAAGGAGTCAAACTTCAGGAGAAATCCTCTAAATGTAGGAAGAAGTACCCATCTCCAGAGCCCCTTGTTCCCAGGGAACGGCCCCAGTGGCCACGGGTACCCTGTGGCCACAGAACTTTTTAAAGACCAGAGAGTCTTGCCTTCTCATCTGGATGCCCCATTTTATGAGTTTCTATAAACTTGGACAAAAAATTACATAACCTATTGAGCCTTAGTTTTTTCATCTATGAAATGGGGGCAATGGTATCATGCTCTTAAAGTCCTTGTGAAGGTATAAAGAGATGCAAAGCACCCCACAGGGCAGTCCCTAGTTCTCAATGTCCTTCCCTGGGAACATCCACCCTTTCACACACACACACACACACACACACACACACACACACACACACAAGTGACCAGTCCAGGGATAGTGGCACTTTATATTCCTAGAGCGCTTTATGGTTTCCAGAATGCATGTCAGCTCTTCACAATATGCTAAGTGGAACAGATTTTTTTCTTTTGGTGAAATGAAAATTCAGAGGGGAGCCCTGGCTGGTGTGGCTCAGTGGACTGAGCACCAGACTGCAAACCAAAGAGTCACTGGTTCGATTCCCAGTCAGGGCACATGGGCCCGGGTTGCAGGACAGGTCCCCAGGGGGCAGTGCATGAGAGGCAACCACACACTGACGGTTCTCTCCCTCTATTTCCCCCTCCTCTCCCCTCTCTAAAAGTAAATAAACAAAATATGTTTTAAAAACTCCAAGTGGAAGTCAGAGCCTCTGGCTCCTCCACCAGTGCTCATTCCACTCCATCTGGTGGCCTGAGAGGGCCCATCTCTCAGATGAAACAGTGGAGGCCAGGGCCAGAGTGAAACCCGCACTGGCCGCCTTAGTCCGGGCACCACTCAGGGTTTCTCATTTGTACATCTTGCTTGTCTTGGTGGCCACCTGGGCCATTCCCCTAAATCAATGCCTGTGTGAAAACTTTAGGACCATGTGGCTCCCCTCATTCTGTTCCACACTGGGGTCCCTGAAAAGCAGAGGGCTGGCTGGAGTTGTCCACTCCCCACCCACCCTGGGAACCTCTGAGAGGAAACCTTCTCTGGGGGGCAGCAAGGAGACACAGGGGAAGTAGCTGGGCAAGTCGGTTCCTTCCCTCCTCCCTTTTCCTACTAGCAGTTCGACAGTCCCCCCAGGAGTGTCTCCTTCCCTTCCTATTCCCCTCTGTTTTGGGACTCCATGGTACCTCCTCATCCCAGTATGTCACCCTGGCTGGGCCTCTTGGCCAGGTGGATAGGACTGACCACCCCTCCCACTGCCCCGCCCCTTCCCGCCTGCCAGACACCCAGGGGCTCCTGATCCCAGAGGGCCTTTGGCCAAGGGGCGCTGGCTTTGGGCCAGTGCCTTTCTCCAGCCTGGCTCCCTCCCCACAGGCCCCTAATCCATCTCACCCAGCAGGAAGCCAGTAAGCTGCCTTTTCAGCAGCCTTCCCCAGCCCGCTGCGGGCTCTGTGCCTTTCTATACCACCCTTGGCAGGAGCTGTGTTATACAAGCTGGAGAGAGCAGCCCCCGCAAAGAGGTCATCGTGCCTAAGGCGGCTTCCAGCTCCAGCAGCCTCTCCTCCCTGGTCACCTCCCCAGGGTTTCCCCTTCTAATACACTGCCTGGCCATCCATGGGCACTAACAGCCCTGGCGAACTCAGATCAAAGCCCCAAGCTGGGTCCAGGTGGGGGGAGGGATTCTAGAGGGACAGCAGGCAGGAGGCCAGAGTCTGGGGAAGTGTGGCAGGCAGGAGGGGGCCCCTCTGGCTCTGTGCCTTCGGTCCTTTTGGCTGGTCTCTCCATCTTTTCTCTCACTCCAGCCCCTGCCCCCCACTCCTCAGAGCTCATTCACAGCCTTCTCGGACTCACTGATGCAGCCCAGACTGAGGGCTGGAGGAGCCTGGCTCCTGCGGGGGCTACAACTGACCACTTCAGACCGGCAGAGAGAGAGGGAAGCCAGGAGGGGGAGTGAAGAGGGGACTGGCGGGATTCTTTCTCTCCTGCTGGGTTATATTTGGGCGACTACTTGTCACTCTTGGGCTGGGGAATTCACAGCTTAGATTATTTTAGGACAGGCTCGATTTCAACCCTACTCCCATGGTCCCCGCAAGTACACTTTCACTGGTTCTGATTTTTGGCTTAGAAAATGTGGTCCTTCTATGGCCTAGTTCCTACTCTGCCCTCAGTCCTTCCCTTCCTCCCTCTCCAGGAAGAGAGCACCCCCACCTAGGCCCCCTCTCCCCAGCTCAAACCCCAGCCCTGCCTCTTAGTCTCCGCTCCAGGAAGCCAGCCTGTTGCTGGCTTGGAGCAGTTAGAGGAGAATTGGGGGTGCCTCTGGGAGGTCTGTTTGTAGTTCAGATTCTTCTCATTCCAGGCTCAGCAGGCTCTCTCTAAGGGAAGGGCCTGGGATGGAGGGGGGAATCCTTGGGGCACAGCTGCCGGGAAGGGAAGCTTCCTGGAGAGAGGAGAGGAGTGTGTTTTCTTCTCCCAGTGACTCCCATCCACAAGGTAGGACCTGCCTCTCCCAGTTCCACTCTTGGCCTCCCCAGAAGTGGCCTCAACATTGAGTCCCTTTCCAATAGAAGCAGATATTCAGAGGGCTCAGCTCAGGCCCTTATCTCTTTTTTTGCTTCCTAAGGAGTCAGCTCCTGTTTTGGGGGGATGCTTAGAGATGTTTGGAAGAGTTGGGGGGCGGGTGTGTCAAAAGAGAGATGCCTGGAGAGTGATGGGTCAGGTCAGTCCCAGCTCTAAACGGGCCTCGTCTCTCTGTCCCCAAAACTGAAGTCCCCTGGTAGATTTTGACTTGAACCCATCATTTACATATTTATCGCTCTGTGCTGCCAGCTCTCAGGCCACAGAATTCCTCACCCGTTAATCCGAGGGACTGAGCCTTAGGGAAAAGCTTCCCGAACCCCTCAGGTCTTAGAAGTGTGATGTCTGTCCCAATTTCCCTGGAAGACCCCCTCTCCAGCTGCCTCTGCCTGTGCTGGAGAGAGGAGGAAAAGCCAATACAAGACTAATTCCAGTGTCCATGAAGCGAAGGGACTGTTCACTTACTACGTCTAACCCCCCTCCCCCCTCCCCCCCGCCCCGTGAGGGGGAAGGCTGGCATCCGCACCTTAGAGACAAGGGTCTGCAGCGTGAGTGACCTGTCCAGGGGGACGCAGCGAGGAAACAGCGAGCCGAGGTGCAGACCTCCCCCCTCTGTGGAGGCCGGCGCCCCGCCCCCACACGCTGCCTCACAGACAGGGGTCTGGCACAAATGACGCCCCCGTTTTTTTTTATTATCAAATCACAAGCATGTCATTCTGTAACATAACACTATCACACTCAAGCACACCATGTGACATTTTAGGTGAAATGTTCAAATTAAAACTATACATTATTACGCCCGTTATTATTTCCCTACCAACCACACTCAAGCAGGTGTTACTTCTGCCAGACGCTGTAAGTAGGTCTGCCTCCCTCCTATGTTTGTGTTTAGAGTTCTGCGTGACCTCTGGGTAATGTTCTGCTTCCAGGTTACAATAGCATGTACCACCCTAAGCTTCTCTACCCAAATAATCAGCCCTACAAATGTATTTACTAATTCAATTCTCACTTCAAAGGAAACAAGACAGATGTAGTAGACCCATTCTGCAGATGGAAAAACTGATACTCAGAGAAGCTAAATGACTCATTGAAGATCAGAGAGCTCATAAGTACCGGGGCCAGGACCCGAGCACTTAGATCTCCTTAATCCGCTTCATGGGTTCTCTCCATGATGTTTAATTTGACTTTCCCTTCACACCTTCTCGTATTGACAACTAAATATGGCTGTAAGGACCCGGATAATCTTGGGAAAACTGGAGGCTTGAAACTTGGAGCTGAGGAATCTGCGCAGGGGCCATGCTAATCCTCTCTGTGTTGTTCCAGTTTTCGTACATGTGCTGCCGAAGCGAGCGCAGAGCTTAGGAATTTGGATGGCTCATTGCTCCTCCTCAGAACTTAGCTTCTCCTGTTCCTAACTATGGGTTCCAGAGGTGAGCAAAGCAATCAGGGCGAGGGAGTCAGGCTGGGTGTCCATACTCCTAAGGGTGCTTAGGAGTCTGCAGACTACCCAACTTAGAAAGTTGTTCAGGCCCTGCCCTACTTGTAGAGGGCATCAATTCACTCAACAAATGTTTACCGAGCACCTATTATATACCACTATATACACCTACTACATAGGCACTAGGGTGTGCATGAAAACTAAGACACAGCCTCTGCCCTCAAGAGACCATCTTGTTGAGAGTGGGGCTTATTAGACATACACAAATAACACACGCCAAATGCTAAATGCCAGAAGCATGAACCCAAACAAAGGAGGGTGGGAATGGGATCAGGGAAGCACTGCAAAGGGGTCTTAAAAGCTTCACAATGGGCCCTGGCTGGTGTGGCTTGGTGGATTGAGCACCGACCTGTGAACCAAAGGGTCGCAGGTTCGATTCCCAGTGAGGGCACATGCTTGCATTGTGGGCCAGGCCCCCAGTAGGGGGCGCACAAGAGGCAACCACACATTGATGTTTCTCTCCCTTTCCCTCTCTCTAAAAATAAATAAATAAAATCTTTAAAAAGAGAGGCCCACTGGGCCAAAGACATGGAGTATGAAAGTACCAAGTGTTCTGCTCTGTCTAGTTCATGGGTAAAGTCAGGATTTGGGGCAAGAAGGAAAAACCATTCTACATGCTTTATGCGAAAGGATGTTTAATTACTTAATGAAGGTGCTATGGACTAAATTGTGCCCCCCTCCCCATTCATATGTTGCTGCTCTAATCCTCAATTTGATCGTATTTGGAAACAAGGCTTTTAGGAGGTAATTAAGGTTAAATGAGGCCATAAAGGTGGAGTCCTAATCCCATAGGTCTAGTGGCTTTACAAGAAGAGAAAGAGGAAAAGATTTCTCTTTCTACATGCCCCTCCCAAGGAAAGGCCGTGGGAGCACACAGCGAGAAGGCAGCTGTCTGCGCTCCAGGAAGAGGGCCCTCACCCTGGACTTTCGGCCTCCGGACCCGAGGCAGTAAGTGTCTGCTGTGTAGGCCACTCAGTCTGCAGCAGACTAAGCCAACGGGAAACCAGGTGCTTGCAAAACTGTCGGATGGACTGGAGGAGCACTTTATAATGAAGCCGCAGAAGTGACCCTCCAGTAGGAGCTACCACCTCTGCTGCAATCGGGTAGCGAGAATCAGGAGGCTGCCGCTGGGACTGAGGTCAAGGATGTAACCCCAAAGCCCCATGGGAACCCGTATCATCACAGAGACGGAACACTGGGAGCTGCCGACGGGGAAAACCCTATTCCAGGACCTCATCTATCGGCAGAAATAGCCAGAGCAGCAAGAACATGGCCTCACCTCCCTTCCACCTTCCAAGTCTCAAATGAATAATGCCCTTTTCATCTAGAATTCTAGCTGCTAGAGGCTGAAGAGACGAGGTATCAGGAGCTCCAACTTCTGCAGTAGAGGAAGGCACCTAGAAGGAAGCGGGAGGGATGTGGACTGTTTTGTCCACCACGATGTGGCGAGTGTGGAGGTTCATGCCGAAAAGATATGTTGGGGTTTGAGTTTGAAGGGCAGTTGAGTGAGTTTGGAGTAGGGGACAGACAGGACTGGGCAGCTGCTGGGATTAACCAGAGCTCTGAAAGCTAATTGGGGGGTGTGGAAAGCAGATAGCCATAGCGTGTGTGTAAGAATCACTGGCATGGCTCAGTGGATTGAGCGCTGGCCTGTGACCCCAGAGGTCACCAGTTTCATTCCCAGTCAGGACATGTGCCTGGGGGCCAGGTTCTCAGTTGGGGGCATGTGAGAGGCAACCAACTGATGTTTCTCTCCCTCTCTTTCTCCCTCACTTCCCATCTTTCTAAAAAGAAATAAATAAAGGCATTTTTTAAAAATCACTTGGAGATTCTAAATTCCGATCACTGGGAGGACACAGTTTGTGTCCATAACAGATGAGCCCTGCCTGGCACCCCTTCTCCAACGGTTCTGATCCTTGTGCCCTGAGCCTTAAGAACACAGTCCTGGGATAGAAACTCACTTAGTGCTGTGAGCTCCGAAATGGTTTGACGTGTGGGGGCCATGTGCCAAATCGGTCCCTTCTCCTTCCTGAGAGCTAGTCCTGAAGGTTGCATGCTTGGAGCCTGAAAAATACCAGTGAGGCAGGGGGGCGGGGGAAGGAGGCTGTACCCAGAACCTGGGAGTCCAGGGATTTTAACCCCCACCTCCCACTGAGGACTAGGGGTTTGGTCAGCAACACACATGACCCTGCCTTCGGTTGCTCTGCACCTCCTTTTCTACTTGGGCCCCAGCACTGACCTGTGGGACCCTTTGATGATTGCCCAGTTCCCACTGGAGCCCACCTTAAACGTTGGGGGGTTTGACAGAGAAGCGGCCAGGTGGACGAGAAACAGGGGACAGGAGAGAACAGAGGAGAGAGGGGGCACTCCAGTCCAAAACGGCCTGGGGTCCCCGCCCAGTGTGGTCCATAGCACACACGAAATTTCAGCACAAGATAACCTATTAAAATAGGTGTTCATTTTCTTTCTCAGTCATTTCCTTGGCTCTTTCTCTCTCTATTCCTGGCTCCCAACCCCCAGTTCTGAGGGAAAGGCCACAGACAGATGAAGAGGTCCTGGCCTCCTCTCCATACCCCAGCCACACATCTTTGGGGAAGGGGGTCTCCAAGTTAGAGCAGGGCTGAGACAGTGAGCCAGGCTGCCTGGGCAGAGGGGCTTTTCTCCTTCCCAAGGGTCTCCTCTCACACGCAGATCCTGAAACCCAGGGCCCCCTTCAGAAGCATCTGCAGCCCAGCTTCGACAGGGTCCCCCAGGCCTTGCTGCTCTGGGCTGATTCTCCCAGGACAAAAACAGGCTTTCAGCCTGGGGGCGAGAGTCGGCCTCCCCACCCCCCATTAACACCACAAAGTCCAAGGAAGAAGGGGGAGTGGGCAGGGCTGGGGGGGTGGGGATGGTGGTTAGAGAGCCAGGTCGTTGCTAGTAAATCAAAGTTGGTTTCCCAGATGGAGCTGCAGCCGCTTTGATTTCTCAAGTCGCCCCCCTCTCCCGCAGCCTCCCCTCCCCCCCAGCTCCATGGTTTCAATTCCTCCCTGAAAAGCAGTGGGGCCTCCTTTCAAACCAGCCCAGCTCCTCCAACTCCCAACAACAGCTTAAGTTACAGGAAAGAGAAAGGGGAGGGGGTGAGGTAGCCCAGCCTAGAGGAAAAGGAGAGAACTTCTGGGAGAAGCCAGGGGGACAAGGGAGAGTGGGAAGAGAGAGGAAGGGAGATAGGTGGAGAGAAAGGCCCTGCTGGAGCAGGAGGGGAGCCCCAACTGGAAAGCAAACGTGTGCCAACCCTCCTTTCCCAGGGAGCACTCCCACACTCATCCCGAAGGCCCCTCCACACCTACACGTCTATGATGATCCAAGCTCTCCCGTTCCTCTCCTCTTGGCAATAGGTTCTAGAACGTTCCAGGAGACAAAATATTTGACTGATTCCCAGGGATGTTTATTTCTTGGACCGAGAAGGCACAGTCACCCCTAAGAACCTCACTAACCAAACTCAGCACCGGTGTCTCCGCTTTGTTTTCTCCAGTCTGCGCAGAACAGCCCACACCTTGCTTTTGCTCTGCCCAGGCCTGGGCTAATTAAAGTCTTTAATTAATAGATCATCTGTTATATCACTTTAATCCTTTTATGGCTCATTTTGGCATCCAGAGGCCTCGGGGAAGGGTGCTGGAGAGATAACAATGGAGCCCTGCTAACTCCCGCTCGGTCCTCAGAGCAGGGGGCAGCCTCGGAACTTGGCAGGGGTGGGGGGGATGAGGTGCACTGGAACTTGGCAGGGGTGGGGGGGATGAGGTGCACTGAAGGAGACCGACAGTGGGCAGGAAGTGGGGGCTCCGGGAGTCCTGGACCTGATTTTTCTGTGGCCGATTCTAAGGGCCTGTTTCCAGAAAGCTAAATAAAGGATGGGGTTCAGGGATACAGAATTGGGTGTCTCACCCGAAGGTGGATTCCAGGTCTTGGTGGCCAGGCTCAAGGAGAGAGCGGGAAATGGAAGATTCTCACCAAGCAGAGAAATACCTTGTGGGTTGGGGGAGGGGTGGCCAACTAGATTCTATGAAGGCTCAAACCTGGTTTCCACCTACCCCACGGAGTACCCCATAGACTGTCTTGCTATTGAAAGAATAAAACCTTTGCGGGATTTTGAAATATCTGAAATAATGTTCTCTTCCTCACTCCTCCCCATGCTAAACAGATTTGCACACCCCTTCCCCTTCAGAAGGGAGGGACCTCAGTGCTTTGGGAAGGAAAGAATGCTGACCTGGGGCTGAGGGAACAAAGAGAGGACCCCTAACTCTACTAAGGAGGAGGACTTCTCTGGAAGAAAGGGGGTTCAACAGGAAAGAAGCAAGGGGACAAGGCCACATGTAATTACCTAAACTCATCCCCTTGGCCAAGGGAAAGGCCAGAGACAAGAGGGTTTTTGCATAAGAGTGGGGCACCTTGGGCAGAGGCCCCAGATTCCTTGGCTGGGAGACGTTCCCTGCGTTCTCTGAGCGTACCTGCGCTGTGCTGAATATCGCCGACAGACTGGCATCATAGTCGCCTGTAACACTCAAGTCTCCCACCTTGTCCGGGTGACGTCAAGCAAGGACAGTTTCAATGTCCACACCCATTTTCACAGTCCCCCACATCGATCAACATTTTTCTGATTCGTTTATACTGCGGAGAGAGCGGAAGCTAAGGGAGGAAAAATGACTGGCCTCAGGCCACTCAGCAGGTGTGGGCGGAGCCAAGGCTGCAGCCTCCACGTTCTGAGCCCCTGACCAGGTTTCTTTTTGTTTCGCCCCTGCGGACCCTCTCGTGGAGTCTGTGGCGTCTTTACAGTGGGATCTGTAAGCCCAGAGGTGACAGGAGCATCCCAGGATTTGGGGGAGAAGTGACGTTGGCCCTGTGCACTGGGGACACCCAGGCTCCCAGCCTGCAGCGGGAGCCCAAGACCAATCAGAAGTGTTTCTCAGGGAGGAGCAGCTGCCTGAGTCGCCAGAAAACTGTTGCTCCCGCTACACTCTAAGCTCCCGGAAGCTGGAGCCCAGGTCTCTGCTGACTTTGTCTGCTCTGCATGTAGTAGGTGCTCAATAATTTACTGGATGAGATAATAGCTATTATTTACCAAACTTTCAGCTTAGGATCAGATCAAGTGAGCACTATACACTGTATCATTTAATTCTCACAACTGAAACAAGGTAAGTAAAAATTCTGACTTGAGGCTCGCAGACCAGGAATAACAAGCCTTGTGACATTCTATTCTGGCCCTACCGTTCCATTTATTTCACCCACCGTGCCCTCGCACACGCTGTTCCCTCTGTCCAGAATGCCTTTCCCTGTCCTGAGATGATGGGTTCATGTTTCTATACCTAGTGCCTTATGCATAGGATCTGATACTTGCTGGCCTCTCTCTCCCTCATCCTGCTCTACCTTTCCAACCACACAGGCCTCTGCTACCCTCCCCCACTCAGAGTCCCACCCCCACGATGCTTTTCTAGCACCATGGCCTTTCTCTCTCTCTCTTTTTAAAGATTTTATTTATTTTTAGAGAGAAGGGAAGGGAAGGAGAAAGGGATAGAAACATCAATGTGTGGTTGCCTCTCACATGCCCCCTCACTGGGGACCTGGCCTAGAACCTAGGCATGTGCCCTGACTGGGAATTGAACCCGCCACCCTCTGATTCACAGGCCCGTGCTCAATTCACTGAGCTATGCCAGCCAGGGCACAGCCTTTCTCTTCATAGCACAAGAACCTGTGGCAACTTTATATCCATTTAATAAATGATCAGTGATTGTGTGATGAATGTTTCTCCCATTAGAATATAAGCTCCACAGCACAGGGGTGGGATCTGGCGGTCAACATGTATTTGTTAAGTGCTAAAAGCACACAATTCTCATAGACATTCGGGGGGGTGTGGTGCACAGGATAGACACAGGTTTAAGAGCCAAGCAGGCCTGGCTTTAAATCTTAGTTCTGCCACTTACTATGTGACCTCAAGAAAGTGGTCAAATTCCACCTCAGGTCAAATTCTATACCCAGAGCCCTGACTGGTGTGGCTCAGTGGGTTGGGCGTCCTCCCACAAACGGAAAGGTCATCGGTTTGATTCCAGTCAGGGCAGATGCCTGGGTTGTGGGCCAGGTGCCCTCTTGGGGGGCAGTGATGGAGAGGAAACCCATCGATGTTTCTCTCCCTCTCTTCCTCCCTTCCCCTTACTCTATAAAAATAAATCAATAAAATCTTTAAAAAATTCCTCATCCATAAACAAAGTGCCATAACTATTTTGTAGACACACACATAATGAATGTGTGGTAATTGGTAGGAGTTCAAGAAACGGTAGCAGTTACCCTAGGTACCAAGGATGCTTGTTGATTGACTAGTAATTTATGTAACTTGTTCTGAAAGGCGCTTATTGATTATTATGACATTTATCTTTTTCATTCAGAAATTATGTTGGATGTGTAGTCTCCTGTTTTGAAAATCTGTTGGGTTATTCCCACTTCACAGATGGGGAACCTTCGAAGAAGTGAAGTGACTGTCCCACGGCTAGAGATAGTGGTGGGACAGTCACTGCTACCTGCTGGGATAGTTAGGGAGCAGGTCCAGGTCCAGGCTCCAGCTGATTAAAAAGGAGAAATCAGAGCTAAGTGATATATCTACCAAATGACATCACGGAGCATTTCGATAGAGAGTCCATTTGTTTCCTTCCATTGCAGATTTGCTGTAATTGAAGGGCAGGTAGATGGGATGGCGAGAGCTGTGGGGAGGTCTGTAGTCTGAAGATTCGGGTTCTGGTCCTGTTCCCCCTCAGTCCCCTCACATGGAGGATAAGAGTAACCACGAGAGCCCTGGCTGGTGTAGCTCAGTGGATTGAGCACGGGCCTGCGAACCAGACAATCGCGGTTCGATTCCCAGTCAGGGCACATGCCTGGGTTGCAGGCAGGTTCCCTGCAGGCCAATTCCCAGCAGGGGATGCACGAAAGGCCACCATACATTGACGTTTCTCTCCCTCTCTCCTTTCCTTCCCCTCTAAAGATAAATAAACAAAATCTTAAAAAAAAAGTCATGAAGAGTAACCACAAGATGTCTTGGTTCCTTATTTCATGTAAAAATGCCAGATAAATGTGAGATCTTCATAGAATCACTCTCAAACACTTGAAGGGCAGGGATGCTACCATTTTTTCTCTGGATTCCCTACAACCTACCACTGTGGTTTGAAATCAGAAAGCCCCATAAAAGTGTGCTGAAGGAATAAAAGGGCAGACTGAGTGAATGAAATGTCTTATTTCTTTTTTTCCAGCTCCAGCTCCCCCTGTACCTTGGGAGTGGCTGGGGAACGATGTCACTCAAGCCCGGCCTTAGGGCAGGAAAACAAGTCTGTTGTGGAAGGAAATTGAAGATGCTGCATTTCCATTGGAGATTTGCTCTCAATTTCCTACTTGGAGTATAGGAGCTAGCTTATTCATTTCTGTTTTCACCCCTCAGCGCTGAGGCTTGGCACCAGCTCTCAAGATGCCTTGGAGGAGGTAAAGCAGGAGAGGAGGTCTGAAGGAGCCGCACCTCGGGCTTGGCCAGGGCCACGTGGAGCGGGAGAGCACAACTTTCCCATCCCCAGATGGCTCCCGAACAAAACAGTCCTGGTTTTGAAGGAAAACTTTTTTCCTAAAGTAACAAAAAGGCAACTTCTCCAGGACAGATAAGGAGCATTGTCACACTGTAAAGAACCTGAAAAATCTGTACTGCGTATTATTCAATCAGGGGGAAAAAAAAAATCAAATCCTGTTAAATCTGGATCCATTGTACGTATCCACTCAGAATTTTCTTTCTTTCTCCCTACTCTTCCCTTACTTTTTTCCCTTACCTTTTTTGTTGTTTTATTTTTAAGTCATTCTTTTTCTAGATTGGTGCACGAAACAGCTCACCAAGCTGGGAGGATCTGGCCCATACTGAGAAGCAAAGGGGTTTTCTAAACTCAATTTTCTTTCTTCTTTTTAAGTGCCCCCCCCTTCCCTTGGGAGAGACAATAGAAATAATTGATCCATCATCCAGTATCAGGCCCCAGAGATTTACATGCAAATCCCCCCTCTCCTCCCCAGACCCCCCACCCCTCATATTTAAAATCCAAGAAGGGAAAAAAAAAAAGAAGAAAGCCCTTTTAAACTAGCAGGAACCCTGCTGGCCACTCACCCCAAACCAGGTGAGAGATAGCAGGGGGTTATAATCCACAACCCCCAGCCTCTTCCCTCGCCACTCACACTACCCCTCTGTGGTGTGGAATCACTTAAGATTTGGGTAAAACGCTCCTCTCTCCCAGGAGACGATATCTGGAAGCTTTTTAGGGGGCGGAGGCAGAGCTGGGGAGAGAAGAGGAAAATTCCCCCAAACGGCCTAAGAAAGTCATCTCTTTACTCAAAACTGCCCGTCATCCTCCACCCCCCACCATTAACCTTCGATTAAGACCTCCTCGTTATGGCAACTAAACTTTACTTTGCATAATTAAGATTTGCCTCGGAAGAAGGGGGAGGGAGAAGCCGTAGCTCCCGGCCATTCTCCTTCACCTCACCTCCTCCCACCCCCCGCCCCAACCCTCTAGCTCTGGGCCTCTAAGTTCCTGAGTTTTCTCACTTTGAGGTGCCACCAAACACAAAGAACCATAATGGGCTCCTTTGTGCTCGCTACGGGGCAATTACGCCCCGGAGTCCAGGCCCCTTTAAGAGCCTCTTAAAGAGACAGGCTCTCACTTTTCAGAGGGTTATTTAGGAGTGTGTGTAGGGGAGGGGCGAAGCAAACTCCTAGAGATCTATATACAGAGTGAAGTGAAACTTTTGTCTGGAGTACATGAGAAAGAGCTAAGATAAAAAGTCTGTTACCACTTAGCTTTTTAAAAATGTCTCTTTCAAAAAAATTTTTTTGACTTGAGATTTTTCACTTGATCTGAAAAAGTGGACTGAAATAGGTGGGGTTCGAGGAGCTGGGGCGGAGGCACGGATTTAAAGAGGCCCTGCCCTGGAGAGCGCCTTGGGCCCCCGGTAGAAAAGGGATCCAGGTCTTAGCAGTGTGGGTCCGCCGCAGTGCTGGGGGATGAGTGCCTACGATTTCGTCTCCAGGACTCGGGAGAAATCCCGAACCGGGCAAACAGCCCTTAATACAATATAAAGCGTGTCCCTTTAAAAAGCAAAAGGAGGGAGGGAAAGTTTTGTTGGCATCTGGTTTCTGATCTCATTATGTTGTGGTCCACCAATCCAGCCCTCGGGGCTGGTCCTCGGGTTTAAATCTGATTGGCCGAGAGCACATTTTGGGATGGTGCTTAGAGCTCGACGGGGCGGTTTCAAGGTTCCCTTTTTTGGGGGGCTGAGGAGAGGGCGGGGCCGCCTGCGGGGGCCCCCTTGAAACCGACTAATTGGGATCGGAGAGGCCGAGGTGAGGGCTGGAGGAAGGCACAAAGGAGTCGCTGGGCGGAGAAGGGAGGGGAGAGGCGAGAGGAGGAGGAAGAAGAGGAGTGGGAGCAAGCAGCGCGCGGTGTCTTCGGCTGCTCAGTCCGATTGAGACGAGCTAGCGGGCAGGCGCGCCGCCCCCTCCCCCGCCCGGCCTCCCCAACTCGGCGGCCGCGAGCAAAGTTTGCAAAGAGGCGCAGGAGGCGGCAGCCGCGGTGAGGCGGCGGCGGGGAAGGCGCGCGGTCTCCGGACTGGGGGCGGGGGCGGGGGGCCGCCCGGGAGCTGAGTGGGGGGCGGCGGCCAGCATGCGGCCCCGCAGCGCCCTGCCCCGCCTGCTGCTGCCGCTGCTGCTGCTGCCCGCCGCGGGGCCGGCCCAGTTCCACGGAGAGAAGGGTATCTCCATTCCGGACCACGGCTTCTGCCAGCCCATCTCCATCCCGCTGTGCACGGACATCGCCTACAATCAGACCATTATGCCCAACCTTCTGGGCCATACGAACCAGGAGGACGCGGGCCTGGAGGTGCACCAGTTCTACCCGTTGGTGAAAGTGCAGTGCTCGCCCGAACTGCGCTTTTTCTTGTGCTCCATGTACGCACCCGTGTGCACGGTGCTGGAGCAGGCCATCCCGCCGTGCCGCTCCATTTGCGAGCGCGCACGTCAGGGCTGCGAGGCGCTCATGAACAAGTTCGGTTTCCAGTGGCCAGAACGTCTGCGCTGCGAGCACTTCCCGCGCCACGGTGCGGAGCAGATCTGCGTGGGCCAGAACCACTCGGAGGACGGCGCACCGGCGCTACTCACCACTGCGCCGCCACCCGGCCTGCAGCCCGGTGCTGGGGGCACCCCCGGCGGCCCGGGCGGCGGAGGCTCGCCCCCGCGCTACGCCACGCTGGAGCACCCGTTTCACTGCCCGCGCGTGCTCAAGGTGCCGTCCTATCTCAGCTACAAGTTCCTGGGCGAGCGCGACTGCGCGGCGCCGTGCGAGCCGGCGCGGCCCGACGGCTCCATGTTCTTCTCACAGGAGGAGACGCGTTTCGCGCGTCTCTGGATCCTCACCTGGTCGGTGCTGTGCTGCGCCTCCACTTTCTTCACCGTCACTACATACCTGGTGGACATGCAGCGCTTCCGCTACCCCGAGCGGCCCATCATCTTTCTGTCCGGCTGCTACACGATGGTGTCCGTGGCTTACATCGCGGGCTTCGTGCTCCAGGAACGCGTGGTGTGCAACGAGCGCTTCTCCGAGGACGGCTACCGCACGGTGGTTCAGGGCACCAAGAAGGAGGGCTGCACCATCCTCTTCATGATGCTCTACTTCTTCAGCATGGCCAGCTCCATCTGGTGGGTCATCCTGTCGCTCACCTGGTTCCTGGCGGCGGGCATGAAGTGGGGCCACGAGGCCATCGAGGCCAACTCGCAGTACTTCCACCTGGCCGCGTGGGCCGTGCCGGCCGTCAAGACGATCACTATCCTGGCCATGGGCCAGATTGACGGCGACCTGCTGAGCGGCGTGTGCTTCGTGGGCCTCAACAGCCTGGACCCGCTGCGGGGCTTCGTGCTGGCGCCGCTCTTCGTGTACCTGTTCATTGGCACGTCGTTCCTTCTGGCCGGTTTCGTGTCGCTGTTCCGCATCCGCACCATCATGAAGCACGACGGCACCAAGACGGAGAAGCTGGAGCGGCTCATGGTGCGCATCGGCGTCTTTTCGGTGCTCTACACGGTGCCCGCCACCATCGTCATCGCCTGCTACTTCTACGAGCAGGCCTTCCGAGAGCACTGGGAGCGCTCGTGGGTGAGCCAGCACTGTAAGAGCCTGGCCATCCCGTGCCCAGCGCACTACACGCCGCGCATGTCCCCCGACTTCACCGTCTACATGATCAAATACCTCATGACGCTCATCGTGGGCATCACGTCGGGCTTCTGGATCTGGTCCGGCAAGACGCTGCACTCGTGGAGGAAGTTCTACACGCGCCTCACCAACAGCCGGCACGGGGAGACCACCGTGTGAGGGGGTGTCTGTCCCCAGACCCCGGACCGCACCGCGCTTTCCCCCGCCCCGGGTGGGGGGGGCTCCTACAGACTCCTTATTTTATTTTTTTAAATAAAGAACAATCGAAACCATTTCTTTTTTTAGGTCGCTTTTTAAAAATAACTCTGCCCAACACCCCCACCAGGTTTGTAATTAAAACTGTAAATAGTCTTTGTAAATTTAATTATATATTTTCTATTTAAAAGAAAAAAAAGGGGGGGGGGAAGCGACGGGCCCCAGGGCTGAGGCCTGGGGGGAGGAGGAGTTGAGGGGGTTCTTGCCTTTTTTCAGCGCCCTTTCAAACACCATGCCCCACTTTGGTTAGGAGTTTTTGGTGATTTGGCAGGGCTGAACCCGGAGGAGGTGTTGGCTGGTTTGTTACATGTAACCTCTAAAGCCAAGTTGGTGAGCCTTTTCTCTGACGCTGGGCCTGAGGAAGCTGGTGGATATTTTTGAACAAGACTTGGATTCTTGTTTTATTTCCCTTCCCCCCTTTCTCTCCGCACTTGTCTTGTCTCCTTCCCTCGACCTTTGTTAGAGCCTTCCCCGCGGAGATGAAGACGGGGAAAAAAACACCAAACCAACGGGTGGGCTGGTGAGGAGCGGGCGGAGAGCGTAGGCCCACGTTGGCCCACTCGGAAGCCAGGAAGACCTTTCTCCTAACTTTTCTTCTATTCAGCTCGCCGCCCCCAAGCGCTAGGAGTGGGCCGAAAGTGCTTTGTGAAGTGTTTTGAAAGTAACCTCCCTCCCCCACACACTACCTTGAATACGGATCCCGACCCCTTACCGCATTTTTAGGGGAGTGTTACTAGCTTGCAAATGTTGGCGTTTGGTGATGCCCTGTATCCTTCCCCCGGTTTCCTCCGAAGCTTGCCTCCCAATCCCACCTCCTCAACCGAGTATCTTCTCTGGCATTCATTCAGGTTAGCAGTTTGTGGGGTGGTTTTGTGTCTTACCTGCGGGTTTTTGTTGTTGTTTAGGGCTTTTTTTTTTCTCGAAAAACAATAAAAAAATGGGTTGGGTTGGAGCGGGGATGGGGTGGGGGGGACAGATGGGTTGGTGGGGATTTTAGTTTTCCTTTGACAAAAGACTGGTTTATTTTCAAACTTGTCCAGAAAAGGGGGGTGGGGTGGGGAAAGGTGGGTTTGTTGCTTTGGAAGAAGGCTCTGGGCCGGCTCTTTGTGACTGTGGGGGCGGGGTTGGGTGTTTACATGACATTCTATATCACAAGATTGATAGGATGTTTATAACAGCTGTTTCTTGTCTTCCTCCTACCCCCCACAAATAAAAGTCAAGACTTTTTCTTAAAGTATCTCTGACACTGGTATGAGAATTGCAGTATCCAATACACATCATCTCCCTCAACTATTTGGGATATTTTAAAATGTTAACCCTAAAGAATTGATTTGAGGACCAGGGGGGTGGGTGGGACAACTATGCCACAGAACTCAGTTTTTCACCATTTCCTGTTTCTTGATAATAGCGCAAATTAAAAGCTAATAATCATAATAATAAAGTACATTTAATTATCTTCTAGAGGTCTAGGCCTTTAATTGTATTTAACAGGGTTGTAACATTTTATTAGTTTAACCAAACCACATCCCCCCCCTTCACTCTCCCCCAGTTGTTCCTGTGGGGATGGGGGAGAGGAGAGGAGACCTTGCTTTTTTTTTTTTTAGCTCAGTGGTGATGGGGAAATCGTGCCTTGCCACCCTTTGTTGGCAGCCTTTGGGACAAAGGAGAAAGTAAGTCAGAACCCCTACTTCCAAGTGTTTGCGTGTGTTAGTTTATGTTGGGGGAGGGGATCTGGAAATGTTTGGTGGTAATTGAAGTCGTATGTGGGGCTTTGTTTGGGATTGTATGAAGTCTGAGGGTTTCGGCAGAGCCCCTTTCCCAAAATATATATAACCTTCCCCCAGACCGTTTGTGCTGGTGGCCAAAATTAGCCGTTAACACTCGCTTTTCCTCAAATGATGATATGTGTGCAGTCCCAACCTAAGATTCCCCTCAACTGTCAAAAGTAGGCGTGTAAAGTGTCACAAGGCTTAGGCTCCATTTGTTGCAGGATTCTGTTAGAAAGGAACCCTGCAAGGGCTGCAGGAGAGAGTTAAATAACAAATTGTGAGTGTCTCCCCTGGAAAGAAAGGGGCAAGCCTGTGAACGGGTGTGTTGGGGGGGGTGTGGGGCACAGATTTTCCAGGGGCTGGATGGAACCCAGTGGGAGGGGGAGTGCTGGTCCCTGTTCAAGATTTGGGGAGGCCCCCCTACCCCTAAGGGCCCAGCACCCCAGCTCTGTGCTTTGAGGGACACTTGTCAGTGGCACCCAAGCTGTCAGCAGGAGGAGATGGTAGAGGAGCAGCAAATGACCTCTTCCTTCCTCGAGTGGTGGTGGGAGGGAGAGAATTTTGGTGAAGATCGTTCTACTCAACCCCCTCCCTTAAAGTCTCTGACCACCAGAGGGAAAGTGGGCCCAAGAAAACTGAGGGGGGGAAGCTTTGTGGTGGCAGAAGGATAGATGATAATTGCCTCTGGGACAGGAGAGGCCTTCTCCATGTCCTCCCCCTCTCAAAGGGTGGCCTAGGGCCGAATGGCCTTATGGAAGACAGTAGGGAGCCCTCTCTGTGGCTGCTTTCACTGCGCTGATGAAACAGCTCTTGGAGGAGGGGGAGGTAGGTGTTAGTTAGCCCATGGCGTGGGGGGATTTAGGGGAGAAAGTGCCTGGAGCTCACCCACCGGAGCTCAGTGCCACCCCTGGAGATGGGTCGCTCCTCTCTTGTATGGGAAACTCAGTTAAACATATGGGCTTGGAGGTCTGCTTCTGCAGATCTCCAGGTTGCCCTAAGGGTAGTTGTAAGTACATTGGTACCTCCCTTTGGAAGAGGGAGGCTTTGGTGGAGGGCCAAGGGCCCAGAAGGAAAACCCTTCATCTGAGGCCTCGGGCCTGGGACAGGTCTCAGACCAAAGCCGCTCTCCACCTGACCTCCCATCCTCACCCCATCCACACAGGGGCAAGGGTACTGGTTCCCAAGATTCAGGACATCTCTCTTCCAGACTCCTCCCTCACTGATCAGACTTTGGCTTTTCCTCCCGCCCTCCTCCGACTCCCCTCCTGAAGAGCCAATCCCAGAAATGGACAGTAAAGTTTTCCAAAACAAAATTCTGACCGTCCCCAAAGAGTGAGGATCAGTTGGGTCGGGAGCTGCTGACGTCTGGATTATTTCAAAAGCCCCTCCAGGAGGGTGCTGGGGAACCCAGATCTGGGCTGGCTTCTGGAAGCGGGGTCGTCCCCAGGGTGCACGAGGCCTGTGTCTGGCTAGGGGAGACCAACCCAAGCCCAGGCCGCCTCCTGGGCATCGCCACTCAGGTAATCTAGCATCTCATTGTAGTAGGGCCCTTTCCTATTCTGGACTCACCTGCCTCTCCTCTAAATGGGTTTTAGACTGGGGACCCCTGACTCCTCTGAAAACCTGAAAGATCTTCGGACCTCCTGGGAGAAAATGGTCAGACGCCAATAAACATATGATTTTGCATTAAACTTTCAGGGGTTTATGGGCCCTCTAGTTGCACCCCCCATTCCATGCCCTGCCCCCCAAGCTAGTTTTCCAATGCCTGGTTTAGAGATAGTTTCCAGTCCTGATTGCTGGGTATCTTCACTTCTCCAAGGGGCAGCTTTCATTTTCTCTGACTCTAGCATCCCCAGTCTTGAATCACCTCTGCCATGGAAACGGTGTGGCCAAGGGAAAACTGCTCAGTCTATAAAACCAGGAACATCCCACACCAGATTCTTCACTCAGTCCTGTTTCTCTTGCAGGGAACAAGTTCTCTAGATGCAGCAGGAGAATGGATGTGTAATACCTTTGCAGTGGAGAGAAAACAGGAGGAGAAAGACAGAAACATACAGACCGGCCATGTGCAGGGCACGGGCTTTGACAGAGCACAGGGCCCAGCTCTGAGCCCCAGCTGTCACCTGTAAAAAAGCCACAGGTACTGTCCTGCCAGGTGGCTGTGAGGATGAGATCAGATGGTGCGTGCACAGAGCCAGCACGTAGTAGGAGCTCAACAAATGGTAGCCCTCTTCCAGTTACTTAGGACACATTCCTAAAAACACAGTAGAATCCTTGGATCAAAGGATGTGCATTTCTTGAGGATTTTTTAACCTATTGTTACTGGCAGTTTTAGCAGAATAGAATGATGTCTTGTGCTCGCAGTTTTCCTCCCTAACGCAGGGTGTCAGCTCACAGCCCTGAGGCTCCTCAGGGTGGTGGTGGACAGTGATTTTTCTCCCTCTCTCCCCTGATTAGGACAGAAATGTCTTACCCGCCTGAGTGAGCAGGGCACGCAGGTGGGCGGGCTCTCTCTCCAGCTGGCTTTGAAGCTGGCTAATTAGGGCTAGGAGTGTCACAGCTGGCTTCCCCGGTGCCTCCCCCTCCCCCTGCTCTGCCCCGGCCTCAGACTCACAGCCGGAGTGCCCCTCCCTGGCTGCCTAGCCTTCCACTGCAGACTCGCTGCTTTTCCAGGACACATGGGAAAGGCTGAGATTTGAGGCCTGGGGAAAGGACAAGATGGGACTTGGGACATGAAACAAGCTCTGAAACCATTGACTGGTTTAGAGACGACCGCCCGTGGCCCTGGGCCCCCTCCTTATTCCTAATGAAGCCTGGAGAGGAGCCGGCCCGGGCCAGGGGCTGAGCCCTGGGTCCTTTGTTTGAAAGCCAAGCTTTCTGAAGGCTCCAGCCTCCCAACCTGGCCCTTGTAATTAGCCCCAATCAGAGTGTTTACGTCGGGGCCTCGTGCGGAACTCAGAGCCCCATGATTTCATTCCAGACCTGGGGGGAGAGGGGAGGGGAAGGGATTTGTGCGGGGACATGAAAAAAGGAGGATGGGGACGAGGAGGAAGACCTCAGTGAAGGGAGGGGTGGGGGTCGGGAGGTGGGGAGGGAAGCAGGACAGCCACTCTCCATTTGTCCATTGCAGGGGTCAGGACCCCTTCCAGGTTAGCTGGTGCCCTGGCATCCTGACCCTGGCCCGGCCTGCATGCCTTCTGGACAGGCTCTGTGGGTGGGTGGGCTTGTGCCAATCGGAAATGGCTTGGATATAATTAACCCAGCTAATCACCAGCCTTCGCCCGGTGCAGGGGAGGGGAGAGCCCCGAGCCAGGGCTCCCCCAGAAAGCTCCAGTGTCTCTATTCTTCTTTCTCTGACTGGGGCCTAGGACGTGCCAGGCTCTGCAGCTGATTAAAATGGTGGAGTCAGAGGGCGGGCAGGGAAGTAAGGGTGCTTCATCTTCAGCTCTGGCATCACCTCCGAGAGGAATTGTGGCAGGAGGGAGTGGGCCCGAAGTGGCCATGCTGGGGTCAAGGGTGGGAGGTGACAACAGGAATTGTGGGAGGGAGGAAGAGGATTCCCAGCCACTGCTCCCAGGTGGCAATGGGTGTGTCCTAGACTCAAAGGGCATTTCCCTCTGGGTCTAGGCTTTCCAGGGAAGTCTGGGGAGGAAGGGGGCTTTGGAGGAATTCTGAATGTTGGGTTTAGTGTCCTGTGGGTAGGGAGGGGGGCAGAGGGTGGGGTCTAAGCTTCTAACACTCTTGCTTAAAATGCTGCAAGGCTTCCAAGGAGTGTTCCTCCTCACTCAGCACTTACAGCTCTCCAAGATCTGGGTCTGGCTTCTAGCTCTCTAGACTCACTTCTCCGGGTCCTTCCCCACACTCCCGTGGGCCAGCCTCCGGAACTAACGTTTCCAAAGCAACCACGCTCCATGACTTGGTGCCACTTCCCCCGCGGCCCTAATGTCCTTTCCTTCCCCTAGCCTGGATACTAGCTACTATCATCGCAGAACTCACCCAAGGCCGGGTGGCCCCTCTGTAGACAGCCATACCCTAGGCCAATCTTGTTCCCACACTGTGTCCTGTCTGGTCACAGCATACCCCACTATTTGTTAGTTAGCCACCTTCTTTCTTAACTGTGAGTCTGTACTTGG